AGTTTCCTTGCTTACCCAGACACTGGGATCTTTGAGGATCCACCTTACCCAGATCCACTTCCAAATAAGTGAGGTAACCCCAACATTCCCTGTTTACCCAGACCGGTCCACAGACATTTCAGTAGGCCTGAGTAAACAAGTCTCAGCATGAAAGCATGGGGCACCAGAGATTCCCCGGGTACCGTGCCTCCATGCTGGGATGCTCACAGGCTTTCCTTACATATGGAGACATGCCCCTGGACATCCCAAGGTGGGTCTCCATTGGTGGGAAACCCCGATTTTCCCATTTATAGAGAGATAGCCCAACTTTTCCTATGGTGTCTCACTGTAATGGGGAAAGGTAGACAGGGCCTCCAGGGACTTGAGGGGCCCTCAAGCATTCAGGACTCCTGCCCAGAGGGGCTGCAGAGTGCAGACTGCCCACATTCTCTCATCACAGAGATAATAGACATCTGCCAATCCAGAAAGTGTAGAATGTATTACTACTTTTGTCATGCTACTCTTTTGCCTCTGATTGGCAGCACAAATGTTACATGAAGTAATGTCTGTTTCTACTCATTGGGCAGGTCTACACATGTGATTAATGTCCCAGGTCAGCCTGCCAGCCCAGAGCTGCTCAGACTGGGCTCTACATGCTGTGGACCAGCTGGCTGAGGCACAAGAGTGCTTCAGTGGGGGGAGGAAGGGGCTGTTTGTTGGCTAACCCTGCATTGAAGCACCTTGTACCCCGTGTCTGCAAGTGTTGCTGTGCACAAAAAAGCTCTGCAGCAGGGTAGTACTTGTATTTACTTGTGTGCAGAGTTTATTAGTTTTGCACACCCTAATAGAGGCACACATGCAGACACCGTGACATTTACTGTGCAGTTAATTAATCAACTGCACGGTAAACATCTCATGTAGATGCACCCACTGTGTCTGATAAGCTTATAAGATTACTTTAGCTATGTTATTCTACCATTCTTTTTTTCCCCTCCTACAAGAACAATTTATTCCAATGCAAAGGACAGCAGATAGAGACTTTTAGGTTATCCATTAGTGTAATAAGGTAATGCAGGCATTATTGCACAGCCTTTTATTTCTACAGGTTATTTAATACACACAAATGGCACTTCTTCAGCATTTGACCTCAGAGGAAGGATGTTCAAACCTATTATTCAACAAGATTACACAAAGATATCAGGTCTGATTTGCTGGCCTCAGATTCACTGGTTTTCAAACTTTTTGTCAATTTTAGGGTGCTCCAGACAGTGGAGCTCTACTTTAGAGTCTTATTAACTCATAGCTTCCATTGATTTTAACAGTTCAGCATAGGCAATCAAAACACTGTAATAAGCAAACTATTGAAAATATAGGCCAGGGAGAGGTGCAGTGGTTTCCTAATTTTGTGGGGGTTTCCCTTAGTTTGTGGATGAAATGCTGCACCTACACATTTGGCATAACTGTAAGAGTTTGTGTTAGTTGCTGTTGTTTCTTCCTATACATATATCTATATATATAGGATATATAGATATATATATGCACAGAAAATTACACTTGCTCAACTAAGATCTTTGGACTTGAACCTGTCCTGAATTTCTCACTTCAAATCTGCTTCCCATAATACTAATTTTTTTCATGCCCTGTATACCATAGGTAGTGGTCTTGGCCATGAACAGCCCATTTGGGTACCAACACCCAGAAGCCTTTGGATCAGGATAAGATAACACAAGTGAACTTCTGCCTGAACTGAATAATGTACACTGAAAACAGACATGGTTCTGCATTGGTAAATCTGTTGCAGAACCTACTGTTGACCACAGCTTATAATATGATGAGACAAGTCAGACAGAAAACATTTAACATGTGATAAAAAGTTTGCAGGGACAAACTGAATCCACACTTCAGCAATACCTACAAAGGAACTGCATATTGCAATCAAGGAGGCCATTTTGTAATATAATCTTATATAGGGACTTATATAGGGAAATGTCTTGCCAACATGTCTAAAGCATCCATATATTTGTGGACTCTAAGCAGCCATGCATTTTACAGTAGCTTTGAACAGGAAAAAATGCCGGTATCCATCAATCATGAGTTTTAAAAGTGCAGAGTCCTCACTGATTTCATGAGATATTGAAAACACAAAACAAAGCCAGCAGCAGAGTAACAAAGCAGTAGGATTTTTTACTCTCCCTACAACTTTCTTCTATTAACCAGTAAATAATGGCTCTTCATCCAGCAATGCACAGGTAGTACTGAACGTTCCTGTGCTGACTATAGCCGGGTATGCAAATAGACAGGGACTGAAAGTTTCCTTCATAATCTTTAATGCCAATAGTTTGGGAACTCATGAGAGTTTCCTAGCAACCACCTGTTAAATGACACACTTTCCCCCTAGCATGCTATTTATAGATTATGGAGCAATTGCAAACCTTATTCAGTTAGGGAATGAAGGAAAATATCCTAGCCTATTGCTTTCGATTCCTCTTCAACTGACCTGGGATGTCTTTCTAATTTTTGGAGAAAAGCAGTTCTCAGAAGTTACTTCCCTCTCTCTCTCCTCACCTCACCAGCCCCGCTCCCCACCAAAAAAGGGGGGGGGGAAGCAGAAAAAAATCCTGCTGCTGGTGAAAAACAAGGATAAACAACTGTTCAGAGACAGAGACGTACCCCGTAAACCTAGTGGGCAATTAAGGTAACTAGCTCTACCAGTTAGAGACAGAAATAAGATGCAAGTTGAACAAAAAATGAGGTATCCTGGATAAAAGTGGAAAAGAAACATGAGGCAACTGTAAGCATAAAGGATTCACTGGGTTCACACAGACATGAGCCTATTATAGCACAATGCCAATAAACCTGGTCTAATATGCAAAAATGACCCATTATACGTTTCAGATATGTTCAAAGTTTTATGTGAACTGTTCACATTGCTTCATTCAGGACTCTCTGCCTTGTAAAGGCAAGTCCCTGCCACTTGATTTACAGAAGAGCCTTCAGCATCCATTTGCAGTATTAAGGGGCTCTTCCCTGTGTAAACTGTAGCCATGGGAAGGAAATTTGAAAACATCCTTGAACAGATCAGACATTGTCCCACTGAGGGCAGTTTTGCATGCACATTTTAACCAGTACACTGAAACAACTCCTTCTCCTTTTTAAGAGAAAAACTGAACTGAACTTTTATTAACCTAATTTATTCTCTAGACTAATTTGCCCCACAACTACGTGCCTCTCTGAAAAAACAGCAAAAACAGATTGTATTAAAAAGGTACCAAAGTCTTTCCAAAATGTTTTGACACAACACAAGGACAAAATAAAAAAATCCCCCAAAACCAAAAACTCAAATGTACCAAAAACAGAAACACACACACACACACACACACACACACACACACAAACTTCAAGTAAAGAAACTGAAGCATGTCCCACCCTCCCCTCCCAAAGGGCAGTACAGTGTTTTACTAATTCTAATGAACTTTCTGTGGAAGTCTAATGTATCACTTTGTCAAAAAATAATTTAAATCAAAATTACAGAAAGTAATGTGTAAACCAGGTAGCATCTTACATTTCAACTGTTTATGCTTGAAGTCTTAATTTGAACATTTTTTTTTTGAACCCTGCCCACACTCAGTAAAGCAATTAAAGACTTTAATTGCATAAAACCCAAAGTATGATCTAGTCAGGTCAAAATTGCTAACAGAGTGCATTTGAAAAAAAAAAACCTCTTTCTCTGTCTTAGGAAAGGACACTGCCCAGGGATGTTCTCAGATGAAAAACCAAAAATAATGACTGCTGCTTTTGTCAGAAGCCAAATGCCAGATTTAGACTGTCTCAACCAAAATCACTCAATAAATCTACTAATATTTTCCACCACTCTACAAGAACCTTAGAAACATCAGTCATCTGTTGATTTCTTGAAAACTAGGTCATTTAACTGTGAAAGAGAAAGAGGCTGCAAAACACCACTTCTCTTTAAAAGAGATGCAGTATATTTTATCACTTTATGAAACAGATAACCCTTACAACATTCTCATTTTTTTTTTTTTTACCAGAATAGAAATATATATTTGTTAAAAGGGTAATTGGGCATATATACCAAACTAAAATTGCTGAAGGGATGAAGGTGGCTGTATCTATAAGAATATTTATTTTTATACCATTTCAAACTGTTTCTGAGGTGTCCATCTAACCTATACTGATAGGACTGTTATATTAAACTCTGCCTCACACCCACAAAACACTCTTAAAAACTTACAGAAAATGTTGTAGATTTTTATATTTTGTGTGCATCTCTTCATGTACAACAAGCCTAGAATTAGTTCTTAAATAATTAAATAATGCCATATTGATGAAATAACATCTGTTGCTTTTTAATGATTTTTTTCATGAAAGACAGGGAACAATGGATGAACAACAAAACAAAGTGATGCATTTTAAATGAAAATGTAGACCACTCTGCAGGCGATAGAGCTTTTGCCTACACTTACAAAAGCATGCATTTTAGCAAGGTAGACTTTAACAGGATTATTTTTTTCCTTAAAAGAAGGAACCTTTCTAACTATTCCTTTTTGTCCAAAGCTATGAACAAGAAGTTAAAATATGTCCTTGGCACCTTAAAGTGTGCAAAGAACAATATCCACTGTCTGCAAGGGTTACTTGGCTATATATCTAAAAAAAACAACAACCCTTAAATGAAGGGTGAAATCCTGACCCTACTGAAATAAATGGGAGTTTCACCCATGAAATAGAGACAGATTTTGCCACAAGTATGTTTAATAAAAAAAAGAAAGAAAAGAAAAGCAAAAATAATAACCCCACTGGTACTGCAATGTCTTCTTTAAATGATAATGCCTATGCATTCATATTTTCCATAATTCCAAAATGCATGTTAGGATGGTATTATTGGCTATCATAAGAGATGCTGTTTCTGTGTGCTAAAGCATGCGGTGACCATGTGTACTGCTGGTCTACACAGTACATCCTGTTGAGCTGTTCTATTGTATCAAATCAAACCTTCTTCTTACCTCGACTTCCTTGCTCTTCTCTTTGTTTCTGCCCATTGAACTTCTCCCATTGCTGGCAGTCTCCCGCGCTGGGACTACAGAAATCTGTTGGAGGGGCATTTTTACAGTGCTGCAGGTTGCCAATACCTGATTGGATGCCTTATATCTTCACTCCCCCTGAGTAGCCCACCTGTATAATTGTTCATATCCTTGCTTTGCCAAGCTCAGTTCTAAATAAAAAGAGGAAAATATTATTTGAGACACTAGGCAGCACATGCCAGGGTCTTCCATCGGAAAAGTAAAACAAAAACCACATCAAAGAAAAAAGCACGACATAATCCGAAGAGTTTTGCATTCTTATAGAGATGAGACATAACTACTCTGCTTTGTCACTGGAGCACCCTCTTTCCTCCCCCCCCCCCC